CTTATTCATCAGTGGTCATTCAGTAGAAATGAGACATGCTGCCGAGCGATTCCAACACTCCACGGAAACAGTCCATCAATATTTTCATATTGTTCGAAATGCTCTAGAAAGCCTTGTTGATTCTGTCATCATTCAACCAGGACCTGATTCTCCGATACCCGACGAAATAGTTGACAATCCTAAACTCTATCCATGGTTCTCTCGCTGCATTGGAGCTCTTGACGGCACTCACATAGAAGCTCAGGTCAAATTTGCTGACAGATCTAAACATCGAAATAGACATGGGACATTATCACAAAACGTGCTAGCCGCTTGTTCTTTCAATATGAAGTTTCTATTCATTTATGCTGGGATAGGAGGTAGGGCACACAACTCCTTTGTGCTCACCAGAGCACGTGAGAATAGAGCTTTCATAGTACCTGAAGGTCAGTATTCTTCTTGATCTAATTTTTAATCCAACATTTTAATTCAAATATGTCTTTGTAGGGAGATACTATTTAGGTGATTCTGGTTATGCACATTGCTCAGATGTGTTCATTCCATACTCAGGTACTTGTTATCATCTTCAAGAGTGGCACATTGGAAACCGTGCACCGCGTACACCTCGTGAACTTTACAATCTACGTCATGCTACAGCACGAAACGTCATTGAGCGCATATTTGGTGTTATGAAGATGCGATCTCAGATCATGAAATACATGCCACGTTTTGATCTAGAAGTTCAATATTCACTAGTGGTAGCATGTGCAGTTCTACACAACATCATTCGAGATGCAGGACCTGAAGACTCTTTCTATGACGAGTTTGACCGCTTACAACGGGAGGAAGAGAATACTCAAGATTTGGCATGGGCACAAGCTAGAGCAAACAATGATTATGAAGAGCCTGACCTTGGAATTCAGAATGAAGCACATGCTCAGAGGGATGCAATGGCTCAAGAAATGTTTAATGATTATTTGGCTCATCCATGTAGACAGTGGAGATGAAATCTAGTTTAATTATGGCTCATCCAGGTAGACAGCAGACAAGAATTCTATTTGTCTTACAGCATAAGATAATGTAAATACAAATTAAAAAAACTATACTGGTGTGATCTCATTCTTCAGCCAATCCCATTGCATATCATCTGGCAGTGAATTAAAAAAAAAAGCCTTGTCTTCAGTGTTTAAAATGATGGCTGCTTTCATCTTCTCATCTTTGTCAGTAATCATGGATGCTATTTTAGATCGAAAGACTTCCATGGCCTTGGCTTGCTCTGGATACCTCTCCTTCCTTGCATGGATGAGACTCTGGTGGCGAAGTCGTTCAAGTGCAGCAGCCTCTGCTTGTGCCTTCCTTTTGTTTCGCAGGGTTTCCATTTGCAGCTGCCTTTCATGTCGTATTAACTCGAGTTGAGCTTGTCGTTCCTCGCGTATCCTAATGTTCTCCTGACACTCATGTTCTTTAGCTGCCAATTTCGCTTTACCAACCTCAACTAGTCCCATCAAGGCATCGGCGCTGCTTGGCTGGTTTGGCTTCTTACGATGTGGGCGAGGCTTTGGGGAAAAAGGAGCTGGTCGTTTAGCATTGGTCGGCTTGGGTGGCGGAGATGGTGAAGTTGGAGGTAAGGAGGAATCAGGCAAGGCTATCGGTGCGATAGCCTGGTCTAGCACAGCTGTAGGTGTTGGACCATTGGTTGATCGATTGGTTTGATCGTTGACAGTCAATCGATTGGCCGTATCGTTCAGAGTCCTTGATGTTGAGTCTGTAGAAAGTAATGTTGATAAGAAGATGATGAGGGAAATGAAAATTTGTGTAAAAACTTACCTGGAATTCCTTCAGTTGGGTCAAATGCTGGTGGCAAATCCAAATCGGTCCCATCATCTAAAGCTAGTTCTTCTGCGGTGAGTTCAGCAGTCCTCGATCTCTTTGTCCTGGCTACGCGACTGCCTCGGACCAAAGTGTCATCCGCATTTCGACCATGCTCGAGTTCGTTCATGAGCTCATAGTTGGGAAAACCTTTGTTTTTAAAAGTTTTGTACTTCGAATTCGTCTGTTGGACAAACATTGTCAGTATGAAAAGGAAATGAGCAAATGAGATCAAAGTGACTGACATTGATCTTGATTGCCCACCATTCATCTGATGCAATGATCATGTTCTTCTCGTCATCCCAACCAGCGCCTGTAAATTTCTTGAGGGCATCGAATGTCTTGTACAAAGCACGTTGCTGATAGAACGATTATTAGCTGACTTTTTTAGATGAGCAATTGAGGGAACATGTACTGACAGAGTTATAATGATTCTTCAACGCTGATACTTTGTATGACTCGTGGTATCGATCGTTGAAAGCTTTTACAACGGTACCCCATGCTTCCTTTTTGAATACGTTCTCAACTCGAGCACCGTTGTGGGCTTGTTCCAAGAGACTTCGTAAAATGAAATCACTACGCCCATTGCCAAAGTTTGCTGAACCCCTATCCGGTTCCTTCGCCATTACGATCGTTCGAGGTCAATTGCCTAAGGTTGATATATTCAAGACATGGTATTAGCTTGCAATCCGAAAAAGAAGGCTGAAAATTGGAGAGTAGAGTACGAGTCGATGGAAAAAAACGTACTTGAAAGGTAGTGCTCCTCGAAAAGTGAGGTGCGTCAGAGTTCCAGTACGTGGGTGAGGTGAATTCGTACTTGTGAAATTTTTGAGAGTTCTTGACTCTTGACCCTGCAGAGCCCCGATTTTAAGGGCTTCCTACGGGTCCATTAATAGATTAATGGACTTGAAAGCTGCTCGAAAGCAGCTTTCAAAATACCCTATTTTCTACACAAAATAATGGATTATTGATGGTAAAATGTATTTTGGAATGGGGGGCAAAAGGGGTACCAAACGATTATTTTTAAAAAAGAGGAAAATGTATTATTTTCAAAAAATAATACATTTTACCCGGTTTTGGTAAGCCATACCAAACGGGGCCTTACACTGCTTTTTATATATATTTCATTCTTTTTCCTGAGTCATCGCGATGCCTTGAGTGAGGTAGCTTGGTTGAAAAATAGAATTCTTCTCTCACCCACCGCCGATGCTACCCACAGCCGCCCACGTGTCATTCTGAATCTACATTACACAGCGGTAGAACCATAATCTGGACGCCTGCGTGGCGCTCCGGCGTCCAAAGTTTTCTTGTGGAAAAGTTCCCTACTCTTTCCTTCAAATAGGGATCGAGGGGCGCTGTGAAGTTGACTATATCACTTTCTTCACTGAGTCTCAATATCTATAGCTTCGGTAAGCTTTTGTGCCATCATTTTCCCTTGTGTGTCAACCTTGGTGCGTATTTATTTTCGATAATCTGGCTCTTTTTGCAATGTCGTGTCATCACTTTGCTTGTTATCTGTCTACCGAATCTTTCGATAGTACTCAGTGTTCCATTGGAAAGCCTAGATTTTGACGCTGTAGTCAAAGACTTTCGTAGTATTTGTGTCTCTTCCCGAACATTGCGAGCTGACCTTTGTCCTTGCCTTTTCTTCCTCGATCACAAACGTTTGGGATCGATCTTTCACGATTTTGACATTGACTTGACCTCGTAAATCACCTTCGGCTCACATCTTGAAGCAAACGCATCAAAGAGGAAACTTTGAAAACTTTTGAAATGCCTCACCTCACGAAGTTAATGACAATCACCGTATTGGCCATGCTAGCCCTTGTGGTGGTTTCTGTTCCGGTGTCCGACGGGGTGAGTCATGCACAATCTCTCAGGTGTTTTCAATTGCCAACCCAAAGAAACTGACTTGATGTATGTTTTCTGTTATAGAATCCAAGGCTTCACGTTGAACGGTCTGAAGTCGAGGAATCCCGTATTGAGAAGCGATTGGTCAATGCCCGAACCTGGTGATGGACCAATGGCATGTTCTTTCTCAAATGTTTCCAGGGGTGTTTTTTGCAATTGGCTTGGTATGTGTTTCTTTACCGCTAAGGCCGAGATTTGCTCCGATTTAAACATGAGGATCTGAATATGATGCAACGCTTTCGGGATGTTTCTTTCGATAACACAGCGCAACCACTAATAAGCACATTGGCGTTTGTTTCTGCGCATCATTCATCACTTATCTTTACAACCTCAGCCCCCCCTCCACAAGTCTCGCATCCTGTTTATCCATACGTTTTTCACTCCATTACACTTCCGTACGAGTGTGTCCTTTTGTTTTATTTTGTTTCGTACGAAGTATAAGATCTTCTATTTCTACTCTGTGAAACACGGACACCTTATTCTATATGCACGCATACTACGTCCGCCACTTGTTTAAGTAATCCTTGTCTCTCATATGATACCTTTCGGATGAATTCATGAGCAGCCTACGCCAGTATTCCTCCATATATAGAGATGAAAACCTAATGCCAAGGACATGTCGTGGTCAGAAGTCAGGTAGAAAATGCGAAGCTCTAGAACGAGCCTGTTGACACTATCAACAATACGAACCTGTTCAGCAGGTTGCACATGGAAATTCAATGATGTGTAGCAGAATAACATCAAAAAAGGTCCAAAAGTTATCGATGAAGATGATTTTTGCATATTTTGTCCGCCTCCACACAGGATGAGGAATTGAAATCCTTACCAAGGTACCAACAAAACTAAAAACAAGAGTCTCTTGCGATCTCGTTATCGGTTAGCAACTATCCGAGTATGAACCTTTTCAATTTATAACATGTTCACATTAGCACGCCTAGCTAGCTATCTGACATAGCATTTTTCAGGTTGGTAGTATCCTTGGGAGCGTTTAATTTTCGTAGAGGCTGGTTAATGGTTATCAACCTGACCACTCGTGAAAAGTCACTCCTGTGTGGTAGGTAAAGACAAATCTGAAAAAACCCCCAGCAACATTGTTAGATTGATCTGATGATTTAGGTTGAAAAGGCAAACATGTTTGGATGGGCTGATTCCCGCCTACGGGGGAAAAGGATACAGGGACTGTGGGAGACCAGTCTTCAAGCCGACCATTCCTTCCCAGTTCAATAGACAGGCCTCAGCTTGCGGAATGGTTGGTCTGTTGATTTAAAATGAGAACCAAATGTTATCAAATCCAAAGCTTGCTTTGGCCATTCATCAAGGATGAATTTTTGCTCACTTCATCTGTGCGCAAACAAGCAAACCCATCCATACATGATTGGGGGCTGATAGAGTTTCTACTGTACAACACTGATGTTTTTCTGCGATATGTCTTCACGAGGAGAAGCTTCACAATGTGATATTCATACCTCTCAGGATGATACCAAGATTGTTAAACGTTGCTCGTAGATCCGGAGGAAATTGATTCACACGCTGGTAATCAAATGGCGTCGGGCTTCGGACAGGCGGTAAATTCACGCAGTGGGGTATTATTGACTTATCCGACGTATTCTCTCATCAACGCGTCTTTTTGAAGCCTAATGATGTATGGAACAGTGATAGCACAAATGGAATCAGCCCTCGTGATTCAAAAGGAGATATATCCGTCATTCTTGCGCAAAGATACTAACCTCATGATAAGTTTTTCCCATTGCTCCGTTGAGGGGACCGGTGGGGGCATCAAATCCTCTGGAGCCAGTACGAAGTGAGGGATCATCGCTACCTGCCCATTAGGGTTCACTTCCGTTTCGATTTGATCGCCCTCAGTTGTTTGATTATCTGTCTGTTCATCCTCGATATTTCGAGATTTCTTACTCGCTCCTGCCTCGTCCACATCGTCTTCGATGGTTTTCCGCTTGCCTCGCATGTCGGATGTTGCATTAGTTGTGGGATGTGGGTGCGAAACGAACGGCTTGCCATTTGTTATTGGAAAGGGTGGTGCAATGTGATCGGAAGGCAGTTCCAGAACTTTCATCACCTTGTCGAATGAGTCTTGCCAAGCTAAATTGGTAGGCGACAGCATGTGCGAGAAAAACTATCGTTAAGCTAAGAACCAGATAAGACGTGACCATTGAATTCTGACCTTGTCGTTCTTCAGCTGACTCGTATTTCAAAAGATCTTGACCATCTTCGCCAGATTCGTCTTGGTCACCGAAATAACTCGGCCCCTGATTTTTGAACATAGGATACACGTCATCGTTCTTCTTGAGACCATCCAGCTCGACTTGATGCTTGGACGCGCCTTCGAATAATTCCTTCACGCCGGGAAGTTCTTTTGCTCGACCGAAATATTTGTATCCACGTTGGCCTGGAACACTACGACCGGCACCATCGAATGTACTAGAGCCAATCCTTCTATAATTTGCCCCCCCAAGATTGATGATCTGAGTTTCCCAATGCCCTTTTTCACGTAGTAGTTTGTTGATCTCATCGTTCAGGTCTCGAACTTCGTAATCTGTCAAACCAGCTGGAATTAGCGGAATAGAGAATCGAATTCAGTAACTGTACTTGATTCACGATGAGCTCTCCAGAACACAGACCATCTTGAATTTTGGATACCTTCCTACTGATTTCTCTCAGAATCTCGCCTCGCCACCTTTCACACTGGCGAAGATCCTGACAGCTACTAGCAAGCCGCGGTCGCCGATCGGTTTTGGTAGACATTCCAAGCTCAACTGCTTGGGCTTCCCGGAACCGGTAGAGCATAGATTGTGCTTTTTCTTCATTTCGAGCCTATACTCGAGCAAACGTCGATCAGATGAAGTGATATGTTGGCCTATTTGTCTTTTGATGACTCACCATGACTGTTATCGAAGGAGGCGTGTTGACGGTTTGATGAGCTTTGCAAAATCAGATGTTCATACTGAAGTGTATCATGTCAAGTGCCGAGCCCTGCCCCGTCACCTGTCCTGATCCACTTGCGGCATCCTCGGGTCAAACTCGAGGGGTGCGCACTGCGTGTTTTCGAGAGTATCCGAATGTTTGCTCAACACGCGAGCGCTCGCGAGTGCGAATGCTTACGAGCGGTCCGGATATATATTTCATATGTCTAATTTGGGCCGTGACAACGCTTCCATCCTCTTACGGATAATCAAACGCAAAACCTTTCTCACATCATCCTACCACGTCAACCATAACGCCCAATGGGATAACAAAGTATCGCATCACCAAAGAGAGTCCTCGATCACATTCCACCAACCATCCTTATCACAACTACCAATCCCCGATCACAATCTAATCGTGAGATGATTTCAACTTACCTGGCCTCAGCTGAAGCCTGAGCAATCATCCATCAACCTTCAAAAGGTCAATGTGAAGGATTAGACGAACGCTAACACTTCTGCTCACTGTATAATACAATTACGAATTAAAGTAGAGTTACTCACATTCGAAAAATTACCAAGTATCAATGACCAAGCGCACTGTTTCAAAAGCGCCATCAACGTCCATCCCCTCCAAATATATTAGACCACTCGTACCAGGGCAACCTCTACCAGCCATTGTGTACAATCAACCCACAGGAACCATATGCACCTCTGAGAACTGCCTATTACGACCACTACACTCGACCATCTATTGGAAACCAAACAGACAAACAACTCATAACCCACTCGTGGGCATCAGTGTAAGGATTAGGTCATCATTCCATTATAAATAGATTTTAACCATTGATTTTGACCCTTTCCAGTGCCAAATAGACAAAAAATACTTCAGGTCATTTCCCAAAGCATTATACGAAACCACCCTTATAGGACTTAATGCAGATATAACCCTCAATCGAAATCGACGTTCATCTAACATTCAAATGATTAACAATCTCGATCCCATGTTGACAGGCTCAACCGCTCCTCAACCGCCGCCAACACCCCCATGCACCCAAAACCACGATAACCATGCAACAGGAAAAAAATCAACTCAGGCCAAATCTAAATCTCCCTGTCGCGGCGTTAACGGGGTTATCTGGCCTGGACACAGTCGTCGAAAAAACAATAATTGCAGTGTGCGAGCATGCTCTGACGTAAGTGACCTTGTCCACAGCATGCCAGTCATATTCGATGAGTTACTGACTAATAAAATGTATATAAAGTGTTGTGACAACTTAAACAAACAGGCCGGAGGATGTATACCACATCGTCGCAATCGCAAAAACAAGGAGGACGCTCTCGCTAAGAAAGCTGACGATGTTGTCAACAAGCAACATACTGTGGAAGTTTCTCCATCTGAAATCGACATTGGACGGCGTGTGTGCCAAGGCGAAGCAAATAAATTTTTACATCTAACTTTGAAAAAGCAAGCCGAAGAACGACTCCAACAAGAACAAGATTCACAGGCTGACAAGAATATATCATTGTTTGTGTGGTCATGTTCTTTTGTAAGTTCCATTTTAACTAACAACAATTGGACACCGACACTTACTTTCTATTGTATTTGCTTTTAGGAAAAGCCTCGCTTGTTCAGAACCAACGTGTCCACCTGGCCGCACTTCGCATTGAACATGTCGGAGGAAATCCTGGAGCTGGTCAAGGATAAATTGGGAGAGGACTGGGTCGGACTTTTACAAGTCTGGAATGAAGAGGAACAGTTATGGGTTAGTACTTTTTCATCGTATTCAAACTGGAGATCGATATATTACTGACTTATTACAATTAGGCTAATATGAAGTTATCACACAAGGAGAAATATTGCGCCGAGACACGCAAGTTGTTGATCGTCTTTCCGTCGATCAACCCTGACCACTGCCAAGATGTCGAAATCCATCGAGCATCACTCACAAAACCTTCAATCACATCACTAATGGAAAGTCGACACCTACTACCGTGGCTCAGCAAACCGGGCCATTCCAATCTTAGCCCTTCTGGAATTACGAAAACACCGTCACCTGCGAGAAATAACACACCAGCCGAGTTGAAAAATAGATATATACACGGCAATTTTGAACCAAGCAGCGATGACGGTAGTGAGCAATCTCAATCATCGGACAACCAAACCAGTCAGCCATCAAGCTCAAGCACCAAAAGACGCCAATCATCTTCTACCGTTACAAACCAGGCACAACACATCAACAAGCGATCCAAGCCTGCGTCAAATGAAAACAACTCCGACTCGACTGTCACCAAATTGATACCATGGCCTCGGGAAGTCAATATGCGAATGATGAAAAGTTATCTGGATGAATGCAACAAACAAACTACCATTGATGCGTGGAAGTATCTTTTTGGTCACACTCACATCTATGTCCAACCAACCTCCACTCGATATCAACGCTGGCTGGAAACAATAACACACGATCGCTTAGATCCGTATGTAGTTCAACATGGCGAGGACTCTGTCAAACAAGGTATTAAACATTTCGCAGCTGAATGGCGATTAGTGAACAAACGAAACCAGATTGAAGAGAACCAGGGAGTTAAAATAGTTAAACATGTTTAACTATTTCCTAATTCATACTATTCATACAAAGGAGAGATATCCCTGTCTTACATTTTTGACTATCATTATCATTACATGTATGTAATCTATGTTGGATTCATTTTTTTCTACCTACCTCATTAATTGTATCATACTATATCTCATCGTAAAAAACCCCAAAAAAAATTTTATGTTATATCTTCTCTTGCAATACCGAATTTATTTCTTGAACAACTTTGAGTGGAGAAGTATGATACCTATGGTTCATGCAATATATAAAACAATCACGGTGTCACATTATCAATGCATGTGGTTTTATATAAATAAAGGAAAATTGAATACCCGTTAGTCCGAACCCTGCATGAAAATGTGCAACCTCGACTTACCCAATATCCAAGCAATATCTAAACATTACTTTCGCGTAAATTGTAGGTTATATATTAATCATTTTCGCATCTGGTCATGCTGACCCTATTTCAATAGGATCCATATCGTACAAATGGATTCTGTAAACGTAACCATGCCTGCTACCAATTACAACTTTGTCACTCCAGATCCAGAAGATGAAGAGGAAGTATCTCAAGAAATCACGGGAAGCGATCTCAATCCCGCTCTGGATATCTCCGATCCTCATCGTGGCGCCAGTTTCGAGTTTTCTGCAATGTCGATTGAAGTTGGTCAGGCACAGGCGGTATCTACTAGTTTTGCAGGAAGTCTAGTTCTTGATGGACTTGAAGACAGCTATAACTATGCCAATGACATTCTTGAACAGTCTCGTAAGTATATGAGGTATAAATATTATTAGACATCTCACTGACTGTAAGTTATTGGTGCCTATTGAATGTATAGAAACTATCGAAGACGAGTCCGATATAGTACCTTATTATGAAACCATAGAGGATTTAGGACGTAAAAAGAATGGTATGCTATACCGATTGTCGCCCAAATGTTTCCGAGATCAGCAACCACACTACAATCCATTGGAGGTCGTGCCTTACTTGGACGATCGTGTGGGTTATAGCGAGGGACAACAAGTCCAAGTAGCAAACCACTCATTAGACTGGGTCGTTCGCAAAGCCTACCTTCATCACCGAGACTATCAAATCGCCGGATCATATCATATCAAGTACAACCTCACATGGGCGAACTTGCTGTCACAAGGTCGTTCCCACTGTTTTGAGCGAGCTCAAAACAGCCGATACGTCGCGATGGCTTTGGAATCGTTTCAAAAGGATCTGTTCAGGAAGCGAAGGGAGAACGGCAATGGCAATATCAACCCTTTGCACCTACAATGGGCCATCGTCGCGTCCTCGATGTCGGTAAGTTATTCACTTGTATGATTACTTACTGTTGTTGAAACGATTGTGTCCACAGGTCCAGCCGTTGCATATATTGCAGAGTTCGGCTACCGCAACTACCGATAATGAGCCACTCTGGAAAATATTCAAGGGAGCAACCACCGCTCGTTTCCACCGATTTATTCATGTCAACGCTTTCCACAACGAGCCTTCAATGGAACCAGAAGCTTGGCCTTGGACGAGTCTGATCTACGCTTTCTTACACTACACGTATGAACTTAGTGGTGACCGCACCTTGATCGCCAATCTGGACTGCGATGAACATGGAAACTTGAGCAACATAGTATGTTATGACAAAGAGTTAGTGCTCTCGCCCTATGATGTGATTCAGTACATATCCTGATGCCACATACTCCATAGGACAGTTCCATATCACAGTCGCCAAAGCGTAGAAATGGCTAAAGCTGTTGATTTAGCATTTAGCAAATTTGTAGACCAACACGAATGTAATGAGGTATGCGAACATGTAGGAAGCGTCAACCTTAAATAAAATATGTGCACTATAACTGTTGTATTGACCAAGTAAAATAGTATGTTTCACTCCATGATTGATAGTGTAATGTTTGTCCGAAGTATTCAGATAGTTACATTCTTAAATATTATAGTATTTGTTCAACGCCTACCAAACAAATAATAAAGGATTAGGGAAAAATAAAGGTGATAATTTATATAAAACATAGATAGGATGCGAGAGAGAGTGTATGGCTGGGGAATTGCTGTGTGTGGATTCATTAGTCCTGATTCCAAGTATCTTCTTCGGCTTCAAAGATTTTTAATCCCAGCTCGTGACACACAATGTTACACTTATGATGACCTTTGAAGAGCATAAACACCCTATCTATAATTCCACCGAGTTCGACCGAATGGTAGCTGGTTCTGCAACCCGAGTCAAGTTGTTTCATCAATCAAGACTGCTCTAGCCAATGTCGATTATTAAAAATACATTCTTACCTCTTATGATAACATACAACGCTTGAAATAGTTCCATCACCATCGCAATCCAATTGCGCAATCAAAGACTTAAATTCACTGCTCTCGTATGCAAAGTGGATAAATGCGTGGATTATGTGGGTCCAAGGGTCTTCTGCGTCTTGAGTACAAGCAAAAGAATATGGATGCACGTAACGTTGGTTATTGTCATCAACTGGTGCTTCACACAAAAGCCAAGAGGGTTCGTATCGGAGTGGTCCAATTGTATGCAATATAAAAGCCGAAGGAACCTACAAAGCAAACATAGTAAAGTGATCAGGATGAGGCCAATTAATAATTAGCTGTTTTATACATAGCGAAGCATACCTGCAATCCCCTTGAAGTTGCGTGTAGGGTCCGTCTTAATAACTTGGATTTCTTCTTCAACACTTTTTCAGGTGTTACCCATCGTGTCTTGAGAGCTTTCTGAAAGTGCCTCAACATTTTGGCAGCATACAAGTTGGATCGCACTCTCTCAAATGCCGCATCACGACCATGATCCTCCATCGATCGCCAAGTTTTGTTGAACTTCGCCCAGATCGGTCCTTTGACCAGTTCGCTTTCAACTTGAACATATCTGAATACCCAGCGATCAAGTATATCACGTGATACAGAGCCACAGACAAATGGTTTATACGATTTGTACACAACCAGTTTGGAAGGCTTGTCGCGAATGTCTTGTTTGATGTTGTAAGTTAACGTGGCTTCTTCAAAATCATGGACTTGAACAAAGAATATAAAACCGCTCCTCGTTTTGAATAAACATCGGAACGGGAGTGACAGTTCGCTTGAAATATCAGAAACGTCTAATCAACCCGAAATAATAGCATTCGTCTTTGATTAGTTTATGAACTTCCTGGTATGATCGAAACTCCACATTACCATCACTAGATGACTGCTGTTCCGCGTCCCGGTTATCTGCTTCCGACACCTCTTCATTCGATTCTCCTGCAGGCATGATCATACCGCGGGAGGTAGAAGTACTGGATAAGTTATCGCTAGTTTCAGTTTGGCTGACAATAGGTGGAGACGATGTGTTGTTATCTACAAGACTAGGTTTTCGAATGTTTGTAGACATTGTCTTGATTAGTGAATATATTGATTATATGAACTTTAATAATTTAAGGCAATGATAGAGAGGAAATATGGCATTGGACAATTAGATAGCGTAAGTGGAAAGATGTGATCAAGATGTGTTATATTTTGTATTGGTTTATAACCAATCGGCGATACGTTTACCTTTGTCTCAAAGGTAAAATTGTAAGTCTCGATCGCTTTGTAAACGATCGAGACTAGTAAGTTATGATATCTGTGCCATATATGATACTTGTAAGTAAGCGCTCAGGGTGAGCGCGTATGAGCGAGGTGATACTTTAATAATGGAACCAATCACTCATGGTCATTTTCTAATATCAAATGTGATTATATACGAATAAATATTCACCGCGCATAAGGATAACAAAATTTTGTCCATTAATTTTTAAAATGAATAGACACAAATAATATAAATATATACGGGAAACCAATCAATGATATGCTTATATAACACAAGAAATTTTATTTTGTTTAACAAGAAATAAATATCAATAATTTGTAAAACAGTTTATGGAATGTACTGTACATCCAATTACATTAGTGCCAGCTGCAATTACAACGATTCAGTCTTGAACAATATATTTCCAAAGAATGACACATTAGGTCGAGATGCCACCTTCCCACACGTTCGAACATTATGTAGCCTGATCATTTCTTCAAGGAAGAAATTGTATTTAACAGAATGCATATTTCGGCAGATTGAATCAAAACGACCAAACCAAGAGTTGACTATTTCGGCCGCGGACGAGTTGAACCTCCAGCTGCCGTCGGGTCGCTTGAGTTGTGGGAACAGTTGCGGATCATTGTTGAGGCGACATGATGTATGTGTTTCCTTGTGAGACTTGATGTGAAAGGCATCTACAGGTAGTATTGTGTTCCGGAACGCGTGTGTATCCTCAGCACTAGTGCGGATGTGAGAGTGTAGGTTACATGCATTATCGTAGAAGATCACTTGGGGCATTTCATCCGGAAATACCTCTTGAATCCATTCCTGGGATCATAGCACATTGGTTAGCTGGTTCAAAACTTTATAAGTTTATAATCACTTACTTTAACCTTAGTTACTGATTCTGATTTAAAACAAGTCTTACGCGCCATGATGACCCCACACGGTGAAACCATCAACTGTTCGTTGTGTGTCCTGATGCGGGACAACAAGATCTTTGGTTTTTTTTTGCTGTTATCACCGCCGTCGCGCGCACCCTCATGCTCCCGCTCCTCTACCTCCGAATACATGAGGTCTTTGGCGGTTAGATTGACCTCACCTGTTTCAGCGGAAAGCATTACACTAGGATCGAGATTGATGTGATTATTTGCACGAGTGAAACGCCTAGGTAGGCCAAAGAATGAGCTGTTGCGGTCTTTGAATGCAAGGTGTGCTGCTTCGTGTTCAGGATCACCACATGTCTCTTTTCCTGGTTCTCGAGGAGATATGCAAGGCTGGGCTAGGCAAATATTCCCAAGTGACACCATGTGTTCTGCGCAAAACCGATTGTTAACCTTCTCCAGAGGTTGATCACAGTGGTTCATTGTGGTATTAGGGTCAAGCGACTTGAGTTGAATTTCGGAAGCGCTGCAAGCCCAGTGACCAATCGTGACACCATCGGTAACTACTGCTCGGATTACTAAGGTATAGTAAATCATCTTACAAACTTTAGTATTCATATGTGATATGATAGTATGAAAGAGGTGGAGGTCTGACCTTTATAGTCTTCTGAGTCAGGTAAGGGTGTGAAATCGGTGCAAAGAGAACAAACATGTGCCCTGTAGACAGAACCCTCTTGCTCTAGCCACAACTTGTGTTGCTCCATCGCAGAGTGAAACCTTCGATCATCGCAACTTCCGGCGTCGCTTTTCAATCGTACGCCACGTTCGTTTGTTAATCTCATTAGGCGGTGCAGATCTAGACCTAAAGAGCAGGTGTTTTCGGTGATCCGCCTTTTGAATCGATCTTTGTTGAAGTCGTTTGCATACGTGGTATCTGTCTTGGCATGCGAGTCATTGTAGGAAAGGACAAGGTTGTGTACAGATACACTGATATGATGTATTATCGGAATCAAACTCATGTCATCATGCTGGGTATGTGTATAATTGATGACTTACACGGCCAGGCTTTGCAGGTGGTTGAAGTAGTCACACAGCTTGTGTGTCATGAAGAAATGTTGAGTAACTTGAAAATACTCAGTTGGCTGACCTTCAAGAGGAGTGTAATATTCTCTTTCCCTTTGGCGACGGCACTTTCGGCGAACGTAACACGGGGTATACGTGGATGAACATTCTGCACATCGAAAATGTCCGACATCAGTACAGTTCACCTCTTTTTAATATGTGGTCACTTACTTCTACAGTAACCAGAAAATGATTGGACACTCTCAATTCCACCAATGTCGAATAAATAGCCATATACTTGTTTCCGGATTGTTAATGCAATCGGTTTGCCACATGGGGTTGTGCAAGACAGACAATGTGAGGTGGGCGGATGGAACGTGCGTTCTGGTATGGTGAGAGCATGCTTATGCCTTAGTGGTCCAGGTATACCATTTGATGCGAATAATGTGGGGTTGTAGTGGCATGATGGCAGAGCGTCCAGGGTGAAATACCACAACGAAGCCCAAGATTTAGGAGACTGGGCGGAATCGAGACATTGAGTTAGGAACTCAATTGGTAGTTGGGTAGGTCCAGTGACATATACGCCTGCTGTCCGTTTCATGAAATCCGCTGAAAGATTGCAGAACACGACAAGTTGGCTCAACGTTAGAGTCTCATAGGTTTCGTGGTCTAACATAGTTAGCTGGTCAACCAATTGACGTAGCAGCATTTCGGATTGCAATTGCAGGTTATTAAGTTTTGGATATTGAATATATTAATAGTCTTAAGGTGTTAAATGGTATATTTATTTGTTTATGAGGAATGAAATTATCGACAATAACAAGGAGGCAACATTAGAATTGTCATCTTAATATGTGTTCGTACTTCCGTGAATGAAGTTGACAAACTTTATGATATATGTGTTGGGTAAATTTTTGTGCTTTTGTTGGTACATCATACCGATTTTGGTCGTGGTCAAACGCAAAGTGATGATTTTCACGTTGTGGTATCTGCTGATCATCTGATCATTCAGCAGTCAGATGAGTGATCATGGATATCATGAGCCAAGTTGACTTCTTCCCAGCCTTAGAATTGCTTAAGGCTGGGGAAATCATCAGTCCGGTAACGGTTGTTGTTTTGTTTGCATGTGTTCCATTGCTTAATCGTTGGTTATCATGTTATCATATTATGGTAAATTGTATATGTGATGGAGTTATAATGCACAGGTGGATCACACGGATAAGGAAATCTGAATACGGATATGGAAAACGTTTTGGGAGGCTTTAGGTTTCCAATTACCAAACGGGAAATGTAGTTCTGACAGGTTCCAAAATATACAAACTACGTGTACAGATCAGCCATTGACGACGGCTGCGTCGGTCCGCTCGCGAGCGGTCGCTCGCATGCTGAGTTGCCCTTCGAATTCTCTGGTGTTTTCCATCAATTCTTTAGTGTGCCCTAACTCAGATGCTTCATTTATATGTGTTTCAGAAATGAGATCAAGTACAGCTGTTCAAGAAATTCGTGTCTTGGTTGCACGAATTTTCAAAAAAAAAACCCAATACAGGTGCTGCGGACCGCAGTCTGCCTGTAATTCAAAATCCGACCACCTCGGAAGGTGTATCCTGTACCGCCCTGCGGGTTTGTTTGTCGATGTTTGCGAGGCGAGTTCAATCGCCCATCCACAACTTCCTCATCATCACATCGAGCAATCCAGATACCCAATCCAGGATCGAAGACCAAACAATGGAACGGTGGCCGGCCTCCACCAGTTTGGTCTACCATTCAGTCCCCGACCACGCCTTCGAGCAAGCTTCCGTATCCCTTAGATCTCCTCACCCAAAGGCCAATTCAATCACCCACCTCGACCCGCTAGCCACCAGACGTTTTTGATTTCCTTCCATACCTCATCGATTTCATCAACCACAATTTGGCCAGATGGCGAAGTCGCATAAAAAGGAGGCCACCCGTTTTTCTGTCCCAACGAACACGCTTGTACCACCTGATCCCAGCAGCAAGCAATTCCCCGACTTGACGTTTAAGATCACAATCACTAAAGCTCGCACTATGGTCAACCAAAAGCTGTTCCAGGTTCCTTCGTCAGCCTTTTCTTTCTTCTGTTGATTTCTCCATCTTTTCCTTTTGCTTTGTGCAGGACCGGCTAATACAGTTTGATTCAATCAGGCCGGCTGATGGCCGAATCGACACAATGTCTCATGTCATCCGTACTCGCAGCTACCAAGCGATGATGGCCCAAGGCACACCACAATCTCCGTAAGTTCGCTTCTGGCCTGTGATGAACAACCATTTGAGTTTCCCTGACACATCCTTCTTATCTAGGCTGTTCAACCGAGGCTCCAGCCTGCGCTTATCCCCAAATAACTCACCTGTCAACGGACGCTTGATCGGCCTATCAACCACCTCAATGATCAACTTTGTTAACAATGCTTCAGCTGGCCCGACTAACTCGCAGTCGTCTTTGGTCTTGTCTTTGAACCCACATATAAATCCTTTGATCTTTTCAACCCTTGGGTCTTCATCCAAATCTTTCTCTGGTTCCCCTTCAACCATCTGCACTTCCCTTCCTACTGGGGCTCTTTCCAGCCGAAATTCTCCTAACAAGAGACCCGCACCGATTCCTGAGCTCTCTGATGATGATGACAAAGGTAAGTCCTGTAATGCCTTCGATTCGATTGATATGTATACAAAGCTGACCTGGCGAAAGTAGAACTTCCTGTAGATGCGTTTGATGACCCTAGGATTACCATCAGTGCTGAAGCTGGCGACGAAGACGGTCCAGACGAGTTTGTAGGCCAATGGCGTACCAGGTGTCGACGAGGTGAACCCCCCTACGAAACGCCCTGATTTTCGCTGGTTCGATGTGGCCGACTACCAGAAACAGAAAGAGTTGTTCCTTGGTGTTACACCTTCAAAACCAACTGCCCAATCCGCTGATGCCCCTGCTTCCGGTACTGTCGTTCACCATAACTACTACGGTCAACCCCTAGGTCCCTCAGCCTTTCCAACCCCCCCTCCGTCCTTTCCTTTTGGCGTCTCCCCGATGATCACCCCAACGCCTGCGCCTTACAACCCACCCCATGCTTCTCAGGTTGCGGCCCAGTCTTCTTGCTTGTCCCCCCCTCCTCAGCTCGCACCTTTCGAAGACTTCTTAACCTTTGCTGGCATAAGCCCCAAAGCAAAGAAGACTCGGGATATCCTCGCTGAAGAGGGTATAACTGATTTTGGACGTTTGTTGGATCGCGAAACTTACAATTTTGCTACTTTTCGCAGTCTTGGCCTTCCTTTTGCTCACGCTGACAACCTTTTTAAGGCCGTTCCCAAATATAACCTTCACCTAAAGTCACTTTGAGATAGCTACCAAACGCCTGTGTGGCCTATTGTATCTATGAATATTTTCAAAAATTTCTTTCTTTTATTGGTAATGGTTCCGATAAAGAGATCTATATCCCCTGAATTTGTTTTCTAATTTTGATATCGACCATGTGAGCTGTCGAATAGTTCATACATGTTTGCTCAGTCTTTGTTTATCCCACTGGTGTCGGTTCGAAAAGTCGAAGTGGAAGACCGTCCTTTAGCTTGCAATCACAAACCTTTGTCCTCCAGCGTTCATGAACTTAATGAACTTGAATATTGCCACTCTGAGACCTTTTTGTCGCCCGATGTCCTGATAGCAATCAGGCGAAGTCTTGACCTTCGGGTCCATTTCTGGAGCTTTGGAGCTTATGTGACTTGAACATCACACACTCCAAAACGAGTGTGTGAGTGGTCCCTCAAAAATGTGATGTGTCACTCAAAAACTCACCTCTTCAAGGCACGTCGAGTTCTTTCCATCGATGTGCCTTGAGCCATTCATTCGGGCTCAGTCTCAGACTGGGGATGTGCGCTTTCTGAGCTCACAATCGCTTTTTAAGGTCACAAGGATTCGTTTCATTGGCAGGTCCCAAAATCAATCTTCAATCGGACAAAAGAGGTTCCAAACTTTCAGAACAAAGACTTTAGACTTTCTTCGGGAGGTAAAAAAAGATTCCAGCGGGTTGATCGCTTTGAAACAACCCAAAGTATCACCCTATCACAATTTCCAGCCTGAAATTCCACCATTAGATCCAATACCCGCATACCGCATACAACTTATGCATGAGAGCGGCAGAAAACCGTCCCCAAGTCCTATCCAAGATCAAATCGATCTTCTTGTCAGGCGGCGTTTGGATGAGGCTTTGAGTACGCCGAAAGTGAGATTTAAGCACGCTGAAAGCTTTTTCGATGGGATTCAGGTCTGGCGAGTATGGAGGTAGGTACAGAATCCGGATTCCTCTTTCGGCCGCCAGTTCATCGATGCGCCCGCCATGGTGGATACGTGCATTGTCCATGACCAGGACAGAATTGGCGTTTGGGTACGAATTCATTACAGGAAACTACGGGAAGTCATCAGTCAATATGTATAAACAAACCAAATGAGCACCAGGAACCCTTACCAAACAATGTTTCAGGAAGCCTTCAAAATCTTTTCGATCGTAACTGCCTTCTTGGCAGTCCGCAGCCAGAACACCTCCACGGAATATGGCCGGTAAGAGCGAGAATCGCTTACCACCACGACTCCAGGGGATTCGGGCCGTCCGTTGGCCTCGTTTGGCCCACGCCATTTCCCTACGCAGATATCGTTCCTGGATCGCGCACTCATCTAATGATGAAAGGCCAAAGCACGCACAGTTAGCTAAGTGGGATAATCACAAAAGAAAACCTTGAGACAGCGTACCTAGAAACACCAACATGTTGGGGTGCAGTGCTCCTACCGCGTGTAAGTACTGAGCACGCTTGGCGGCACTCTGATTAGGGTGCACCGTTCTGGCTTTCTTGAGAGTCAGATGGAGGCAATCCTTGAGATCACTCGCAACTGTTTGCAAGGAGATCCAGGTTCCGGTATGGCGATAGACACCGCGGCGATATTTGTCTAAGTAGAGGCCTGGATTACCTTCGAGGAGCTCTAACATGAAATCACAATCCTTGTCGGTCAATTTGGTGTGTCTTCTGAGACGCTCGTAGTTATCAGGGTTCCGGATTACTGAGTGGGTTCGTTGAAACAAGGAGTGCCACCGAGATATTGTCTGGATGCTGACTGGAGACTTCAGTATGCGCTGGACTTGAGCTAACGTCTTGCCTGCGCGGAGGTACTGCACCGCAAGTACCTTGATTCCTACATCATACTTTCCAGGGCGGACTCTCATGTCTGGAAGGAGGAAGTCGAGGTGTCAGGATAGTTGAGGTCAAGAGGGAAACGGGTGGGACAAACCTGATGGGAAGTGATGGTGGGTGATGCGATGGATGGTCTGGCGAGGAAATTTTTGGTTTGGCAGAAAATGTTTGATGTGGAAGTGATGGGTTGATGACCCCAATACCTGATTATGATGTCTCTCGGGGCTGGGGATTGATCTACTCTCTGGTCCATACCACAGCAAATACAGGTGCGCAGCACCTGTATTGGGGGGTTTTTTTTTTGAAAATTCGTGCGACCAAGACACGAATTTCTTGAACAGCTGTAAAACTTACTAAGATACTCTAATGAAAACACTGAAGCGGAAGATGCAGTGTGTTTTGGGATAAAAAATCCTAGGCTGAATGCCTAGGCACTGCCAACACAGATGCCTCGGGTTGCGGAATCCGAGGCATCATCGGAGGTAAAACCTCGGACAAGGTCTGTCCGAGGTTTTTGTCTGAGGTAATCTTCTGCGCTGGGAGTTGCCTCGGATCAAACCTCGGACAGCTTCTGTTGGAGGTTGGTAATCCGATAATACCTCGGATTTTCCAATCCGAGGTAAATATGTTGGCGGTGAGGGTAAATAAATTGACTTGATCATGATAACATAAACAACACCCTACGGGGTGGCTAGAGGCCTAAATAAAACTGATAACTCAAAAAATATTGAACTGAAACTACACAAAAGATAAAATAAACTAATAAAGGAAAAAAAAGAAAAAGAAACAAAAAAGGAACTAAAAATAACCAAAAGAATTGTTAAAAGAAAAAACTAATAACCAGAAGAATAAGAAAATAAGAAAAAAGCCAAACAACAAAAGAACAGGGAACAAGGGTGGGTGGGACGCGAAAAGAAATACGCGTAAGATAGAACCTTATAGCGATAATCGACGACAGTAAACGCAATGGAATAGAAAAATCGGAAACCGGTAAAGAGCTTTGACATCATCAAACAATGAGTGGTAAAATAGGTAGAAAGAAGTCCGACCCGTTAGTAACATGTCGTATGTAAAGTTCCAAATTTTCTCTCATTCCATTCCGTTAATACCAAGTTACCAACATTAATTACTTGGTTTTTATTATGTATAACTACATAACTAAGTATTCTTCTATACTATCACCATACGCACATAAGCTCCAATCTAACCCTGGAGTCTCTGTGTGTAGGTATCAGGTGTTTGGGGGGGGCCTAAGGCCGTGGACTCCCTGGATAGAGTAGTTCTCTGCGCAGCGGGTGAAGGAGCGGGTGGGAGGAAAAGAAATTTTGCTGTGATGAGATAAGAAAACAGTGGTGTTCCTTTCTTATCAAAAGGGAGATTGGAGATAGGGCTATGACCCGGCCCCAAAACTTTGTGGCCGGCCACGGGGCTCCCACATGCCCCGTTGATACCCAAAGGTCATCAAAAATGAGGCAGGGCCAACCAGTACACGCCCCAAAAATCAGGCCCCGGGGCTAGGTAGGGTCTTGGTCATTTTGGGCACAGGTCAGGCTCATTTTGGGCACGAAATAGGTGTGGAAGGGGGTAGGCAGGGTCTCATTTCATATATTTCACGATCACATGTATCTACTAGATCATTAGTATCAGTATCCAAACTACTAGAAAACTTAAATTCATCATATAACTACGTGTATGAAGTCATCATAACTGCTAAAAGATAACTAGAAGATAAAAATGAAAAAAACTAGGAGAATTGTCTGGACCAGCTTTTGAGGCAAACTTGAGCCTCGAGGTTTTGGGTAGTGAAAGAAGCCCGGTGGTCACTCATGACTCTTAACGCACTGGAAAAAGACCTTTCAGATGGTGCACTAGTTGCAGGGACAGCAAGCATAGCCTTCGCCATATGAGCTAGATTTGGCCAGTGACGTTGATTCAAGCTCCAGTAGTGAAGGACGTCGCATTGCTCATCTTCTTGAGGGGCAGTAAGGTACTTGTTCACCTCGTGTTCAATAGGAATCATTTTGCGGCGCTTGATGAAGTGCTGAGGGCGATCGAGGTTGAGTCTGTCTACTTGAGGTTTGACGATCTCAATATCAGGATCAATGGCTGGTACAAACTTTCTTGCTTGCCTGGTGAAGTAATCGACTAGATCGTCAGGTCCCCAACCCAAAGATTCCATGGTTGACGCTTTGACCGCATTGACTTTGAGGCGAGGATCGAGGATAGCTGCACATATATACACAGCTTTGGTCCGAGCAGCCTCTTGATATTGAGGGATTTTCTTCATCATTGGCATGATAGAGACCTTCAACTCTTTGCATTGGGAGTTGTGCCAAGCCTGTGATACAATTAATTAAAGATGTCAGTGTTTGAATTGAAAATGAGATGAGGAAAGATAAAAAAAGACATACCAATTCAAGTCGCTCCACTAGCCACTGATAGTCAGGCATGACATTAGAAAACGTTGGAGACTTGTTACGTCTCATTCCCTTGAGTGATACAGGTGCCCAAAGGAACGACGGCACCTGTAAGTTCCATGTAACTCAAAGAGAGCGGGCCCCGAAGTAGGAAGGACCGGTACCGTAAATATCACGGTATCGGAAAGTTGGTAGAACAAGAATGTTCACATCGGAGAAGGGTGGGAGAGAAAACTAGAGTTTTCACCACCCATCTACTTCACCAATAGCTTATAGCAGCAAATAACTCATCAAAACCTCTCCTCACATTTCTCTCGAAAATTTTTCTTGTTTTCAACAAAAATTTTTTTCCACAAGAAAACCACGATACCGATAATGTCTCAACAATCAATTCAACAATCAATGGCGAGTTTACTACATGGGAGAACATTAAGACCCAGAGGGCCAACTCCAGGACCCTCGATAGTTACGACGCAAGAGAAAACACAAGAAAAATACGATAGTTTAGAGAAAATCGATGAGATGCAAATAGACGGTGATGAAAACACTGAACTCCAAATGATAGAACCATCACATGTAAAAGAAATAAATGTAAAAGGAAAGAAAGGGAAAGGAAAGAATACGAAGAAAAACCTCAAAAACTTGAAGAATCAAAAGGAAGAAGTGAAACCTACTGGTATCGAGTTAGAAGCCCAGGGAGGAGATAGTCATCAAGAAAGAAGAGATCAAATGAATGAAGACGAAGTTCAGATCAACGAACATCAGCGAAATGAAATCGATAACGATGTTGTAGGTGACACGACTGTTGGTTTTGGTAAGCTCCATACCTTGATGTTTCTAATTTCCCAGTCTTCTCCTTCACTATTTCTATCATCTTCTTCATGACCCAACCCGATAAACAACCTCTACAGAGAAGGAGAGGTAATAGAGACCGACATGTTATAGCCAAGTGTTACAGTTGTGTGTTAGACACAGATAGAGTGGCCGGTGTTACGCTGAAATACACATTATAAGATGTCCAGTGTTACGAATATTATGTCCAGTGTTATGGTTAATGTCCAGTGTTATGATTATATCCCAAGTCAGATGAAGTGAACGTTCAAAACTTCCAAAAGCCCAGTATTAAAAACCTTACAAATCACATTCAAAAAAAAAAAAAAAAGAGATAAAGAAACTTACGTATTGTCTGGCCTGTGTTACTTTACGGGGATACTTTGATACATACAGAAATCGATGTGCAAGGTACCGCGGAACATCCAACGGTCGAATTAGAACACGCCAAATGGATCAGAAACATCCAAACTGCTTTCAGTAAAGATAAAATCACTAAATTCAAAATGTTAACTGAAGCTTATAAAGAATGGTGTGTTGATAACGAAACCCAACGACGTGATGCAGGAGTAAATGAATATGAGTTTGATTCTGATGAAGATGGTGGAGAAGGAAATGAAACAATCACCAAAACGAAGAATTCAGCTTCAACGAAGAAAGAAACCAATACTCACATGAAACTGGGTGTCCAATTGAGACACAATATGGTTCGACTATCAGAATATTGGAATAATGTTATGATCAATAAAAACATACATGTGCCTGTTACGATTTTCTCTACTGCTTGGCTGCTTGAAGATTCTACTTATATGAAGACTAAACATACGAAGACAGTTAGTTGCACCTCCAATACAATTTCGTATGTTGGATTGAAGGTACCAAACAAATACCGACTTAGCAGAGCAGAATGGTCTACAAGATTCGACCTGATGGTAAAATATCAAAAATTAGAATATGATACCTTAGATAGTCAGAAAGGTTTCCCAATCGCACCTAGATTAGTGGCGTATAAAGAAAATGTTCTTCAAATTCAAGAAGATAACTTTGGTATGTGGATGCCGGCAATGAGGTACGATATTGCACATCGTCGAAATGTTTGGGAGCATCGAATGCCGGATGGATCGATGGCGGATGTGGGAACCTTGAACACGATCTTAGTAGCGCAAGCACTTAGAGATGCGAAACATAGAGGAGAAGACGTTTTCGGGGATAACCCCTATATACTCGGAGGAGAATGGCAACACGTCAATCCGGTGACGGGAAGAACGCATCCCGCTGATAAACCTTGGGATGATGAAGCATTTAGCGGAGAGTCCCAAGCAGCGATGTTAACAGGCAGATTGGTTTCTCACCTAGCAACACCGGTTATACCAACACTTCCAGATACGAGAGTAGGGGTTAACACTTCGAAATCCAATTCATCTGCTCACCCGTGGTTCAAAGGAAAGGTGTTTGATCCAAATTATGTAAAACCAAATCAGCAAAGCCAAAATCAGTGAGGATTCAATACCTTCAATCACAACTCTAGACCACACCCTTATCACCCACCTTATGCTAATAGCCTGAACACTAGAAATGGTGGATACAGTAATAATTATAACCACAATGCTGGTAGTGGGTACGGGTTCCCGCAGAGTAGTGGTAGCGGATATGGTGGATATGGCGGATATGGAGGACCAAGTACGTCAGGAAGTAGTTACGGTGGAGGCGGAAATGCTGGAGGTCCCGCTCGTCCGCAAATCGGCCCTGGTAGTTTCACGAGAGGAATGGGGAGCAGTAGAGGAGGAAACGGAGCTGGACCAAGTAAGAGTACCAACACGTCAAAGTAAGTATAAAAAAAAAAAAAAAAAAGAGAAAAAGAGTCGAAAGAGAGGTTGTTTATGATAGAGGAAAGAGTGATTACTTGTTTGTTACCATGAGTAGAAGCTGATTGTGACTGGTTTTGTTTTTCCCTTTTTGTCTCATCTTGTTCTTATTCTTTATATTTCTTGACCTTTTCGATATGAAGCAATACACACGCAATGCCAGAGTCCCATTCAAGATCTGAGAAAATTGAAAACAGAACCAGTGAGAAGGCCGATCAGTGGAGTGCGTATGTAGTGAATGAGAAAGCCAACTTAGAGAATTGGCCAACACAAGCACGATGCGAAATGAACATACAAGAATGGAACATACTACTCACCGAAGGCAACTTGTTGCAGAAATGGAACCACGTATTGCAAAGCCTAACCGACGGCTTCCATCAAGGGATCCCCCCACATACTTTGGGAGACCTAAAATGGTTCACACCAAACAACCACTCGTCAGCATTAGCAGTGAAAGATAAAATTATGGCAAATTTATACAAAGAACGGCGAGAGAAACGAATCTTTGGACCCTTTACTCACGAAGAGGTCCATAAACGCTGGGGTTTCTTCCGCTCCAATCCGATGGGGAGCGTAACGAACAACGACAATTCTTTACGTATGATCAATGACCTTTCCTACCCGCAAAGCTCAGAATACAAGAAGTCAACAAGACGAGAACTGTTACGACACGGGAAAAATCATGACAAACTGACCAAGATGAGTAAATCAGATAGATCAAAAGAATGGTCAGAGAATCATTACAAGTTAAACGTCAACCATGAATTATTTTTCCAGATATCAACCAGCCATCATTTTCAAATTATAGGCAAGTAATTCAAATAAAACTGGACATAATTTGCTTTTAGCGCAATTTTTGAGCTCTGCGCATGGGTCAGAAATCATTTCAAGATTCATTTGTGATTCCCTTCATTCAAATTCACATTCATCCGTTGGCTACTTTGCCCCCTTTTGCCTCATCCGACAGTGCTTTGCAAGTCAATCCTCCCCTAGCTGATTTTCCTGAAGCACCCAACCTTGCTCCTACGTAGGTATGTGTGTCACACAAATCTCCTTATCAAAGGATCCAATGAATCCTCAATAAACATCATTTGAGATTCACCGGTAATCCTTGGCGGAATTGTAATAACATCAAGAGGCAAGGACCACCGTTGAGGTGGAAGTGGGGTCCGGGATATGGGTGTAACCGGTATGAGACCAACTGCAGAGAGTAACACTGTGCAGATGTAGTATTTTTCCACCATGCAAAATGATTAAAATTAATGTCAAAATGATTAAAAATGCTGTGTTAATGCATAAAAATGCACCATTAATGCACCATTAATGCGGAAAAATGCAGCATCAATGCAGTAAAATGCAGTGTTAATGCACACACAAAATGAATTCAGAATTCCACCTTTTTCAATTTTGTTTGTCCTTCAGGTCAATCATTTTTCATTTGGGAAAAATACTACATCTCCCCAGTGTAAGAGTAGAGAAGTCAAGTGTTGGTCTTTTTAATTGTTATGTAGGTTATTGAGATTTGGTTTGTCATCCTCAGCCAAAGTGATTAGAAGTGAACTTTACGATGTCAATTAGTAACATTCAAACTGATGACCCCTTACCTTCAAACTCACCAATTCATCCTCGTCAACATCTTGCTACCCTTCAATCCCATCAACATATTATCACGGCTTTAGCTCAGCTTGGTGAGCTTTATACTGCTTACCTCTTTGATTCAATCAAAGAATCTGAGTACTGATTTCAATTGACCAAAGTGCTGTTTACCAAATACAATTCACGGAATTTAAGCTCAATAGATCTTTGGCCCGAAAGACTAGAACAGCCACTCACGCAGATAGACGATCTTAGGCCATCGGTCTCTTCACTCGCTCAAGATGCATCAACCCTTCATGAAGTGGTAACCAAACGGGCAGCTGTAGCGGAAAGAATATCAAGCAAGGCTCGCATCCTAGACCTCAAACGGAGCAGGGTCAAGGAATGCCTCGATCGGGTCCAAGCTGTCACGCAACTTCAAGACGCCTCGATCGATGTATTTCAAGCGATCGAGAAAGCTGATCGGGAAGCTGCTACACGACATATCCAACGTGTCAATGGAATCAATCCACAAACAATTCGTACTCGATTTGCAGAAGCAGTGGTGGTAGGCGACTTTATACAGTCTTTTGGATCGCTGTACTGAAGACAAAACGACTCTCATATGTTTATTTTGTCAGCCTATGTACGACCGATATACCTGAACAACCTTCGATCGCTTTAGAAAACTTTACAAAACAATTAACTGGAATCTTCTTAAAGGCTTTCACTCAGGCTGCGAATTCAAAAGATGAAGCTACTACTAATTGATTCTTTGAACCCTTTCCACTCTTAGGGTCTAAAGCATCCGAGGCTGGTTTATCAGCTTACTCCGATTTTGTGCGACCTCAGCTACATATCAGAATGATATTGTCAATCACTCATTTAGTTTTGTAAGGTTTGAAATCCATGTGAACCCATGGGATCTTACAGTGACTGACTTTGTTTTGTTGATCTGGAATCTTGCACACGTCTTTGCTACCTAGTCGATCTCAAGGGCCATCGCATTATCCATTGAGTCCTAATAGTCATTTTGCTTCATCATTTCAACACTCACATCAACATCATCATCAAGAGACAAACATGAGATGACTTCAGTTAGAACTCCTAATCAAGCCAATTCATCAAATAAAAATATAAAAAAACCATCCCAACAACGATCCTTGTGACAGTAGCAATGATGAAGACAAACAAGCACCAAAGAATGATTTTGATAGCAATGAAGATTATGGTCAAGGTTTTGGGGTTTATCAAGGTATGTCTACTGTTGTCTTCACTAAATGCTTTGTTGATTTTTCTGTAACCGATCAATTTTGCTTTCAGCATTTCAATTCTTTGGACAATTGATAATGTTACAAGGATCTCATCATCAATCTAACTGTATATTAACATGACCTGTATGCACAAAATTGAACCAATTCTAATGGGTATTTAAATTCACCTTCAACTACTGTAGTAGATAATCCAAATTAATTACAATTAGGTGAGTCAAGTAGTTCAAAGATACCAATGGAATGTAAAAAATCAGATGATCATCATTCATATTACAAGGCCTTGCAATAATCACTTACCACATGGTGTTTTACATTGATCAATCGATTTTAAGGCAAGTCAATTAATTTGAACGCAACTTTGGTCAAATTTTTGATTTTCAAACGTTCTCAAGTGGTTTTTGGCCTCAATCTTAGTATTTTGATCCAAGTGAGCATTTTACTTGGTTATTTTAATAGCTTAGTTGATTGCATAAAATATAATAATAAATATTAAAAAGACTTGATTATTTCTTTTTATGTTGTTTATCTGGATTGGCACCCAATCAATCAATAAGGCAAATCAATCAAATCATTGATTTTAAAACATTATTGAGTTGCTTTCAGAACTTGATCAAGGTGTTTCACTTCCAAAGTATAGGTCAATTTAATATAATCATTTTTTCACCTAGCTCACATATGTAACCTCTGGATCAAATTAGTGCCTCTCCCTTCTACTTTTTCAGTTTTTACAATGTTGATGTTTGAGAATAGTGACTATGATTAAGTCTTTTGTTTTCTTTTGATTTGATTGGGTTCTTGATTAAATGCTTTGTCAAACTCACTTGATGTCAATACAATAATAATTTGATTGATCCACATGTTCATCCACATATACTTCTCATTGTGTCTATCAGCATGAGAGTTCAACAAAAGCCGATCTTAATATTATGAAGTTCTATCTTTGGTCTAGAGGATATTGAACAACTTGAACAATGAATGTTTCCTTCTGGAGCTCATTGATTTCAAGTTGTCTAATCTGAAGGGTGTTTTGTTTTGTTTTGACCCTGCTTTCTGAAAGTCTTACTTCTGTGAAAAAAAGTGACTTCAGATCATTCTATTTTCTTTTATTCAATAATCTGACTGTAGTTATTTTGAAAATAACAGCACTCAAGCAATTGTCATTGTTCTGTTTTGAACTTTGATATTTGTTTCTCAACCCATGAACTTTAAGACTAACAGGAGACAAGGACAAGACTATATCTACCAAACCCAAACTGTATTTCATTATCATTATATTCAAATCACAACACTTCATTGGTCTGCAATACATTTGGTCCATTTGCTAAGCTGTCTCAAGCACCCAAAAGAAATGAAAAAAGCATTTCAAAAAGCAAAACATACAATCAAGTCAATCAACCAAAATTACCATTCCTTCAAGTTGGGTTAATAAGCTGAAATCACAGCCAAGTCACATCCATATCACTTGATCTGTACAAAATAAGATAGATTGATTCAGTTTGAGCTCTTTCAAACATGTTCTTTGAGTTTTACTCAAGGTATCAAGAAAGCAGTAGCTATATATTTTGATCCATGAGGATGGATTCATGAATTTGACATAGAATATATAAAATTCAAAATAAAAACTCCTCCATTTGTGATTTTGAAGTTCATGTTTTTAGTCTGTTTATTTGAGTGAATGAAATTGATGTTTTTCCAGTTATTTGAATCACAGAAACAGCCAGAATCAAAAAGATTGAACTCGAATAAGACAAGTGAGTGTCTTACACTGGGCAGATGTAGTATTTTTCCCAAGTGAAAAATGATTGACCTGAAGGACAAACAAAATTGAAAAAGGTGGAATTCTGAATTCGTTTTGTGTGTGCATTAACACTGCATTTTACTGCATTGATGCTGCATTTTTCCGCATTAATGGTGCATTAATGGTGCATTTTTATGCATTAACACAGCATTTTTAATCATTTTGCATGGTGGAAAAATACTACATCTGCACAGTGTTATGATGAGTGAGGGTAGAGCCTCACAGAAACTAAGGATGGTCACATAGGGTTTTCAGATCTCTTCACTTATGGATCAAAATGATCTATTGAAGTTGACAAGACTATTTCACATAAATGTTTCAAACTCATCATGCTGTGGAAATGTTTGTCAATAATCATTAGTTGAAAGCTTGAAATTTGATAGCTAACCATCTGATATTGCAATTCACATCCTTGGTTCCATCAAGTCTTTTCCTCATTGATGTGCAATATAATTTGACTCATATTTAAAATTCATTTATCAATTTTTTCAGATGTCATCTTGAAACAACTGCAGCTAGAGTTGTGCATTCACAGGCCCATAACTGAGTGAACTATATGGGCCAATACCATCATGTACAAAAATACTACTACTACATCTCAATTGAATATTCTGCTTTATGTATATCTTTGAGAAACTCAATCTGCTTATTCATTTTTTGGAGGCTTGACATGATTCCTGCCCAGCAGCAGCAGTTGAGTTAATTGTTGATAATGACTTTTCTTCACAACAGTACTCTGTATGCTTTCATACCCGTCCTTGACTTTATTCGAAATTTGAGGTCCAATTTTAGCGGACTCATTACAGTACCCTGCAAAAGTAGAAGAATGATAATAATCATAGTGTTGTCTGCTGTTAATTGGTTATCATGTGGAAAGGTACAAGGCTAAATTTGGGTACCATATCCATATTTCTTCTTGAAGCTTGGTATGTATCACTTTGGTATATGAATACAAAAAAGTTGTGGATGTATGACTGGCCTTGACAAGTCAGATAGACTACCCATTCTTTGATTTCCCAAAACTTCAATCATTCCTCTATTATAGAGCATTGAGACTAGCGTACTTTAATGTTTGCCGTTGATATTTGCAACCTGTAGAAAAAACCATGTAGGCACTGCCAAAACAGTGTCTACATGGGTGTTTCCCACAAAAAAGCACCTACATTCTCACTGTAGGTGCTCAAAACTATCAAAAATGATGCCTACATGTTGAAATTCCCATGTAGGTGCTCAAAAGTGATGCCTACATTTCCAAATTCAAATGCAGGCATCTTTTTCAAGCATGAAAATTACACCTACATCTCAAAATAAGGATGTAGGCACAAATTTTGAGGGCCTACATGTGTATTGAGGCATGGGATGATGCATACATGTGTGTATGTGCGAGTTTGGTCAAACTTCTTGAATATCTTGACTTATATAGAGGACCCTTGGAACGTAGAAAGTGGTTTGGAGTCAAAATGAGGGTATTGGATCACATAGAAAGTGTGTGACTCAGAATGAGGGTATTGGAGAAAATAAAAAGTGGTGACTCCATTTACGTCCTCCATTACCCTCACTTCAACTCAAACCATGTTTTATGTCCTCCAATATCCTCATTTTGACTTAAACCATGTTTTACGTCCTCCAATACCCTCATCTTGATCCAAACCACTTTTTATGTCCTCCAATACCCTCATTTTCACTCCAAAGCACTTTTTACATCCCGAGGGTCCTCTATGTAAGTCAAGATAGTTGAGATGTTTGACTAAACTTCCACATACACACATGGAGGTGTTGGATGCACTCTGGTGTTGAAATCATTAGGGGGTTAGGGGGTTAGGCTTTGGCCAATATTAGTATCACCCCTCTCCAAACATATCATCATCCCTCTCCAAGGGTCTGTCACATTACCACCGTTCAAGATCAACATTGTTCCTCCCAATCCTTCATCCCACCACAATTAGACCTCACAAGATATATGGCCTCCATGCTCAGCCTCATCCCATACCTTTCATGTTGCTTGACCCAGCAACAACAGTCTGTAGCCCTCCATCATAATTTCCTGATTCATTTTTAGTTGCACCAACCACACAATATACTTGGGCCCAAGTTGTGTTACTCAAAATATACATAGTGACCTCCATAGGGTTTTGGGATATATTCTGGTTCATTATGATCCATGCAGTGTGTTTGAACTAGCATAAGCTCTGTCATCATGTGTGTATTGATCTAAGATGAGCTCCTCTTATGAGTGCGGCGCCCGCCGCTCAATTTGGCTAGTTTCAGTTATGAAGAAGAAGTAGAAATCCCGTCAGTGAATTCTTTCGTTGATAAATTAGACTTCGAAACATCGTGGGATGATTTCGAAACTGTGGCATCATTTTTCAGGTCCAAAATAGGTATCAAGTTATTGTTAGCAAATTATGATTGGCGGAAAGCTTACCGACAAGGTGCAACACACATATCCCAATGGCGGTTCTTGACTATAAAAGATTTTGATGGGAATATCTGGATTGATACAAGAATCCCGTTTGGTGGAGTAGCGGGATGTGGTACATTCGGATGGATGGCCGATGCTTGGTGGGATATCATTTCAGTAACGTTGAAAGTGGACCGTATTTTTTGTTGGATAGACGACAATATGTTCGTCAAATCAGAGGATAGTCAACTGTCGATGCAAACGGTGGTCCAAGTCAGTAAGAATCTAGGTGTTCAATCGAATGAAGAAAAGTTTCAAGACTGGAATGTAGAACAAAAATACCTTGGTTTTATATGGAATGGAGACAATAAAACTGTTAGATTACCTGAAGAAAAGTTAGAGGAAAGGAAACAGCAGATTGAAGAGTTCCTCACCATTCAGAAAAAGTGGAGTTTGAAAGAAGTCGAAAAATTGGTTGGACGACTAATTCATTTGATACATATTCTACTGCATATGAAGTGTTATATGTGGAACCTGTATGAATGGCAAGCTGAGTGGTACAATCCGAGTGCATTACGTGATTTACCAAAAGGGGCAAAGGAAGACTTGGAGGAATGGCGTGAGACATTAGAAAAGTTTGATCGCCTTCGATTTGTCCCCGAAGTCGAACCGGCTGAGATAGGATGGGTAGGTGATGCTAGCACCAGTTACGGGATTGGGGTTCTGATAGGCAATAGGTGGGCTAGATTTGAACTACTTCCGAGCTGGGATGTCAAAGGGCTGTCACAGAACGAACAGAAACGGGACATCAATTGGTTAGAGACTGTCACGATAAGATTAGGATTACACGTAGTTCATGAAATCGTACCAATGATGGGTAGAAGTTTCCTCCTACTAACCGACAATACGACCTCACAAGCAGCAGTTCGTAATCGGAAATCCAGGCATAAGCTAGTAAACGACGAGTGGAGGCGTATACAGAAAGACTTAGCCTTGTTCCAGTGCGACATAGTGGCTAATCGGGTCACATCTAAGGGCAATATCGCCGATACGTTATCACGAGGCGATCAAGGTCTACTACAGAACGATCAGGAGGTGATTATTAGCATACCGGCAGATTTAAGTCAATTTTTAAGGCGCGGTAGACAAAAGAAGTTAGATGGAAAATGACAAGAGAGTGAAACGCTTCTTAATGGATGAAAACGGGTAAGGAAAAAAAAAAAAAAAAGAAAAGGGGAAGAGATCGCAGATCGGAAAGAAGTAAGATAGGATACTGACGTGTATTTTTGTTGATTCAATTTTAGGAAGATAATGTGGAGGAATAACGTAATACAGAAAAGGCTCTTGAGCGGCAGCTGGTCCCAACCGACACTAGAGAACTATAGCGCCGCGATATCGAAACTTATGAAGTTCGGAGAGTCAATCGGTGAAGACAGATCACAAAGTTTACCGCTAGATGAACAGAAATTGAAAGAGTTTATTGTGTGGGCAGGCAAGGAATGGAAGGAGTATACCGAATCAAATAAGTCAGATAACAAAGATACAAGTCACAAAATAAGCTTAA